GATCCAACGGCCCAGGACGCCCCTTTAGTAACCCGTTCCCAAACCCGACCCAGTAACCATTTCAGCCCAACCCCTCACTTAAACCAAACGACCTCGTTTAACTATCAAACGACCCCGTCTCATTTCTCACCATCAGATCCGAGCCGTTGAGATCATCTGATCTAACGGCTCAGATCCAATCCCCTACTCCGTATATAAGCCTTCCCTCATACCCCACGCCCCCTATCCGAACCCCCCTTCAGGCATCTCCTTCCCCAAGCTCTGGAACCCCCAAACCCTAACGCCGCCCTAGCTTCCCTTTCACCAGAACCCGGCGGCATGAATGCCGATGGCCACCCCCTTCACACCCCTGAAGCATCCAACCACCCTGAACACGAATCCACTAACCATGAACCTCGAATCACCTCCTATCGTCTCGAATCTGGATTTGAAGATTCGAGACAAAACCCGATTTATGCCAAACCACCCCATCTTCATACCATACACTCCCCTGACCCTCCTCGTGACCAAACCAAGCTTGGTTTGGTCCGAATCTACCCACAACTCCTAAAAAAACCAGATCTGAAAATCCAGACCTTAGAACACATGCACCTGGGGAATCCGACCGGTCTTGAAAGGGGTTTGAGGTTTAATGGATCTTAACCAAGGTGTTCTCATGTGAGAATACCCTGGTTAAAATTTGTTCGGCCTCAAATGGTCAAAGTTGAGTCTGATTTGGTCTGTTTGGTTTAAACATTTTTTGGTAAATTTTCCTTTCCCTTTGTTTAGTTCTAATTAAGTTGTCAGCATGATTTGTTGTTGTGAGTATTGGTTATCGTCTGTTACTTTTTCTGTTTTCTTCCATCTCTAGCAAAGACCTTTTATTTGGTCGATTGATTTTCTATGTGTGTGTTCTGAATGTACTCTGTGATATACATGTTCGTCGATTAGATTAATCGTCAAATAAGTTAACTTATATAGGTTCCCAGTGATTGACCAAAGTTGTCCGAAGCCCTTTAGGTCCCTGAACGTATTGTTTATATGAGCGACTGATTATTACCTGTTATAATTAGTATAGTCGACCTGATAAATGTCGTCGATTAACTTCCTACGACTGAATGTTCAAATATTCTAATATGTACAACCTCACTTGACTGAATGGACCTGTATTGTGATTTGAGTGTTGGACATTATCTATGAATGCTAGTTTGTAACTACATTGTAAAAAACAATTAAAAGAATCAGGCTAGGGCAATTCTGAAATTGAACTTTCAGAAGTTCAAAAATGCCCTGATACTGCAATGGGCAGGGCAGTAATAATCAAGGGCTAACAAGGGTATTCTGGGGTGTTGAAAAGGACAAAACGATTAGTTTAAATGAGCTGACAAGTAGGGTACTAATTTGGGATTAAACTAATACCAATGGGGGAACAAGACACAAGGGTATGGGGCTTAAAATGAATAATAAAATGAGCCCATAACTCTTGATTAAAGAAAACCAGGCGTGGGGAACCAATGGCTGGCATCAAAAGATGTTTAAGCATGGGTTTAATAGGTATGGGCAGACTGCAAGTGGGAGCATCCAGGCAGCTTAGCTGCACTGGGTCGTTTGGCTTATAAATAGGCCATTTCAGAACTTAAAAGGGGCTGAAACTTTTAGTCTGAAGGGAGGTCTAGTGAGTTTAAAGAAAACTGAAAAACATAAGGTAGTTTCCAGTAAACATTGTAACCAAACACTGTCTGAGAGTTGCATAAGAGTTCATATTGGTCAAGCTGTCTTGGCCAAGTTCGTTTGTTTGCATTGACTGAGCTGTTTGTGGTTGTTGAACTGTTGGTGTTGCTGCATTGAACACTCTGTTATTGCTGTTGTTTCCTTACTCTTTCCTGGGATTGCTTGTTTGGTACTCGACTATCTGCTGGTTCTCTTTGTTCTGGGAAATATTGCTGGTTGTCTGTGGGCTGTGGAAAACACTTGGATTGTTGATTTGTTGCTGTGCTGTTGCTGTGTATCTGCTGCTGCTGTGTTTGTTGCATACTGCCCGACTGACCATTCCTTTCTTCTTTTTGTTCTCTATACCAGGTACACACCTAATACACTGTCAGATGTAATTGGAAACTTGAGCATGAATACAAATAAAAAGACCTGAAGAATGTGTTTTTTTATACATAGTTTGTTACCTTAAATATCATGTAATGTAGAAAAAATTTTATTCTTGTTTGGATGCTGGAAGTAGCTTGCACGCCTAGTAGATATCAATGCATGGTAATTGAATATCAGTTTGTATATGTAGGCTGCTAGTTAAATGTATTCCCAATGCATTGGGTTGTATCTTAGACTTAGTCTAATCGTGTAGTATAAACCTGTAATGTATGCAAAGCATGACAATCGTACACTCTAGTTAAGTTCTTTCTTTTCCGATAAATTGCCATACATAACTGTTAAACCATGATTTAAGAAAAAACAGGGTTTGCAATCTCAACCCCACGAAGGTCGAGCCCGGGTCAAAACAGACCCAGCAGGCCCGCCCCGGACAAACAATGGCCCAGGTCTGGCCCATCACGCGTGGGTTGGGTTTGGGCCTTTAATTTCGCTCGGCTGACTGTGTGCGTGGCCGCGCTTCTGATTTTGCTCAAGCGCTCGGAATTCTGTTGTAAATAACTTGCAAGCATATAATTAATTAGGACTATCTACTGTTTTCATTTGGTAGAGACAAACACGACAAGAAACGTAGTTGCTATAGGATACCCTTTTAAAATAAGAACGAGATGGGCCTCGACGAAAATAAA